AGCCCCTCGCTCTGGACCCCCGGAGCCCCCCCTCCCAGAGGGGCCAGAGCAGCCCTGGGCTCCAGCCCAGAGCGCCTCCCAGCCAGCCTCCCGCGGGAAGGTCTGTTGAGCTTTGAACCCGGCTCAGGAACCCTCAGGCCTGTGGGTCTGGCCCCCCTCAGCCCAGCTCGGCTGAGTCTCCCCTGCGGCCGGGTGGGCTCGGAGCCCCTCGCTGTCCCGTTCCCTCGCCCTCTTCCAGCTGAGCCTCCCATCTCCCCCCGCCCAGCAGCCCCTCTCCAGCCTTTGTCTCCAGCCAAGCATCTCAGGGCCCCTCTTCCCCGCCTCTCCGCTCCTCCCCTTTGCTCTCCCCTGGAGCAGCCGGGCCGGTCGCCCGGGTCTCCCTCTGCAGCCCGTTGGCCTCTGGCCAGACCCCGGTGCCATCTCAGCGGGCACTGGAGTCTCCATTTTGTGCTGCTCCCTGTAGCAACAAACTTCCTCCCCCAGCAATAGCCAGGGTCACTGCGCCCCAGTCCTCTCCGTGCAACGCCCCCACAGCTCCCCCGCTTCCTCACAGAGGGACTGGGCAAGCTGCCTGTGCGCACACGCTCACGCAACCGGAAACACAACCCTGTTAGACACAGCTGCGCAACGCCCCGACTCCGGTACCCCCCCCAACTCCCTCACTGCACACACAAACACAGGGGTGCCGCATGTCGCGGCCCGGCAGGCACCCCGTCTGTTGGCCGCCGAGCGCGTCTGGCCCGGCCCCAGTGCCACGGCACAGTGCTGGTTTGGAGGGAGCCAGCCACCTGGCTGTCTCCTGTGTCAGTGTTGTCCCAGGGCGCGATCCAAGAGCCGGCTCGTTCAGACCTCCGGCTGAAGCGGGGTATTCGATTGCTCCGGCTGCGGCGCTCTCGGCAGGCTCCGGAACAAAGGAAGTGACAGAGGGGAAAACACACAGAGAGGCAGTGTGGCCCAGTAGGTAGGGCACCGGGCTGCTCCTCCCGTGAGACGGTCATTGCTGGCTCTGGCTGGTTGTGTGACCCCACTGAGTCACTTTCTACCCCACCTATTCAGAAGGGAAACCATGTAGGGCAAGGGCCGTCCCTCGCTTGGGTGGGGGGTTGCAGCTCCTAGCACCGGGCCTTTGCTTTGAGCGGGAGCTTGTAGGTGCCCCTGCAGCAGTACTGCCGGGAGCGCTGGGCTTGTTTTCCGGGGCTGGGCTGGATCCGGAGCGTGTGGAAGCCAGTGAAAGTCTTTCTACCGATCATGGAAGTTTGCCCCACACACATAAGAACATAAGAGCAGCCAGACGGGGTCAGACCAAAGACCCATCCAGCCCAGTCCTGTCTGCCCACAGCGGCCAATGCCCGGTGCCTCAGCACGAGACAACAGAACAGGGAATCCTCACGTGATCTCTCCCCTGTCATCCATTTCCAAACAAAGAGAGGCTAGAAACACCATCCATGCTCATCCTGGCTAATAGCCACCTTCATGAATGTATCTACCTTCTTTTCTGAACCCTGTTAAAATCCTAGTCTTCACCACATCCTCTGGCAAGGAGTTCCACAGGTTGACTGTGCGCTGAGTGAAGAAAAATTTCCTTTGGTTTGTTTGAAACCTACTGCCTATTCATTTCATTGGGGGACCCCTAGTTCTTATGTCATGGGAACAAGTCAATCACTTTTCCTTATTCACTTTCTCCACACCCGGCATGATTTTACAGACCTCTCTCCTATCCCCCTTTAGGCTCCTCTTTTCTAAGCTAAAAAGTCCCCGTCTTTTGACTCTCTCTCCATATGGAAACCCTTCCAAACCCCTCCTCATTTTTATTGCCCTTCTCTGAACCTTTTCTGAACAAAGGGTCTCTCCAGCCCCTGCTCATTGCTCCCTGCCGACCCCGGCCTAAGTGCAGGTGCAAAAGGCCCAACAAAAGGGATGCTCAAAAATCAGTTAGGAAAGGGGAAAGCGTGGCTGGATTCCTTCCGTCCGTAATTCCCTCCGGCCTCAGACCCAGGGCTCTTTGTTTGGGATGTCAGCCACAAAGAAGAGGGGGTGTCAATTGTACGGAGAACCCAGAACGTATCCCATGCACAAAGCTGGCACAGGGTGACAGAGTGCACCACCCTCTCCAGTGGAAGGGTCATAGAATCCTAGAACTGGATCTCGAGGGGTCATCGCGTCCAGTCCCCTGCCCTCATGGCAGGGCCCAGCACCATCCAGACCCTCCCTGACCGGTGTCTGTCCAACCTGCTCTGAAATATCTCCAGGGATGGAGATTCCACAACCCCCCCAGGCAACTTATTCCAGTGTTTCACCACCCTGAGAAGTAGGAAGTTTTTCCTAATGTCCAACCTAAACCTCCCTTGCTGCAGTTTAAGCCCATTGCTTCTTGTCCTGTCCTCAGAGGCCAAGGGGAACAATTTTTCTCCCTCCTCTTTGTAACACTCTTTTAGGTTCTTGAAAAACATTATCACGTCCCCTCTCAGACTTCTCCTTTCCAAACTGAACCAACCCAATTCTTTCAGTCTTTGCTCATGTTCTTAAGACCTTTCGTTCAGGGGCGGCCCCGTGATTACATCATGGCCATTGATGGTCGTGCAGGCAGGGACACCGATCGCGCCATCCACCTGGGGCGCCAGCTGCCGCAGCCGGCCTCAAGCCACTCCTGCCTGCCCTGGACCCGCTCCCATTTCTCCACATCTTTGCTGAACTGTGGGGCCCAGAACTGGACACAAGACTCCAGCTGAGGGCTGATCGGCGCGGAGCAGAGCGGAAGAACGACTCCTCGTGTGGCTCGCCACACCCCTGTTAACGCAGCCCAGAATCAGCCACAGAGATGAGGCTGTGTCAATTGTACGTAGAGCCCAGAAAGCATCGCACGCACAAAGCTGGTGTATGGCAGCAGAGTGCGCCAGTCCCTGGAAAGAGGTAAATAGTAGGGGTGTGAATGAGTAACCAGGTAACCGGGAAGCATCACCCATACTGGTTACCGCTTACCCATCACCGGTTAACTAATGATGTGGGATTTGACACCCTTAGGAAATAGTGTTTTCCTGATTTCACAGCTGGGTCCTGACACGAACGCCCTTGAAATCCAAAGGCCTCCGACCTACCCAAAGCCACAGAACACGCGATGTGAGGAGAGCTCGGAAGACCCTACCCCCCCAATGTGCATCTTGCTTCAGCCGTCCTTTTCCTCCCCTTCTTCCCCGACCCCTTCACACCTGCAGCTTCCCCCCACAGCGCCCCCCTCCGCCCATCAGCCCCGATCCGCTCGGGCTGCGGGGAGCTAATCCCGAACATCTGGCCGCGCTCACGGTGATTTATGGCGGCACGCCGGGAATTTTTCCTCTTGGCATGCTCCCCAAGCCCCATGCGGCGCAGAAGGACCCCGCGCCGCCCGCCAGCTGTTGGCGTAGCCCAGAGGTGACGGGGGCCAAGAGTAACACATCTCTGCTGTTAATGCCGTCCATTTCCTTCCCTGGACTGGGATGGATCAGCGGCTCCTCCCCGGCCAGGGGGGACGAACCAATGACAAAGAAAACAAAGGCAGTGCCCCCTCCCCCGATCGGTTGTAATAAAAGAACAATCTGATCCGGGCCCCATATTCTAGGAAATGCCCCACTGAGCCGGCCAAACAGTCGCGTCTGAGCAGGCTGGGCTCCCCCGGCCGGGGCGGGGGGAGGCCTTCGTGCCTTTAAAGAGGCAGCATCCGTCTGCAGCGGGGGAGCACCGCCCCTTCCTCAGGG